AGCGAGCTTCCCGTATTGATTGATCTTTGTACTATATTCTAGTTTGGCTGATTGCACATATTGCACCACTGTTTGTAATATAGAAATAATCCTTACGCATTCTTGCCGCTGTATACTTTTGATCACATGATGTAGCATATATAAGGAGCTGTTTTGCTAACATTCATCCTCGATCCGGGGAGCTCACTACTCCTCTCGATTCTGAGAGAGTCACTCCGACTCTCTCCTGCTTTGGGTCTTTTGACTCTACACACTTGATCTTTCGATCTAGTACTGCAATGGTTCAAATAAACACTGTTCAAGTGGAATTAGAAACCTGTCGTTCTGTGTGAGCTAGCAACTTGGATGGCGACTATATTGGTCGTCTACCTGGGTAGCCACTAGACTGATCTAAGCCAAGTCACAAACCCGCCAAAGCGCGGCCATGACACTACTATTAAACTCGCATGGGTCATAAACCGCTCCTGCTCAACGCAGGCCGACCCACCAACTCGCATGGGTTACAAACCGCTCCTGCTCAGCGCAGGCCGACCCACTTGGTCATAAATTTCACGGTTCGCGTGAGACTCGGTTTTTCTATATAGAGGCCGAGTTTTTCCGCATCCGTAGGAACGCCACCACCCTTCAAGGATCAAGGCGCAGATGCAGCTCCTAAAGCGGTGGGAGGTGAGTAGATCAGCTCACCAGCATGTGGTCAAAGACCGAAAATCCCATTCACTGCATCCATGTTTTCCTCGTGCCAGGCCACGAGTTCCCAATTAACTGTGGGTCGCAGCACGGCTGGAAAAAATCCTTCCGCTTCCAAGCAGGACTTGAACCTGGTACCCTCTGTTTCTCAATCATGGTCTCAGACCATCCCACTATGCCTGCCTGCACGATTCGTTAACGCGCACTCAATTGAGGCCAGCTACTCTGCCCGACATTCCCATTCTTCCAAACTCACTCTCTTGTCTTTTGGTGTGTCGCATCCTGCACGCGTGTGTGGCTTTTTTTTTTTTTTTTTTTTTTTTTTTTACTATTGAACACTCACTGCATGATGAACTAAAATGAGGAGAAGAACTCGACACAATGGTACATATCCAGCAGGACGGAGTGGGTGGGACCTGTGAAGCTCAGCCGACCAAGGGTCTCGGCATCACAGCTGCACATGTGCACCAAAGGAAACAAAATGGGGAGTGGAAGGGCGGGGAGGGGAGCAGGAGAGCAAGAACTCTAAGGGTAGGAAAGAGAGGAGGGGGGGGGGTAGGAAACCAGGGAACTTGTTATTCCAAGATATGAGTGCAAACAAGTACGCAAACAAGTACAAATATAGCAGTATCAAGATCATGATGCTGAGGCGAAAGTAGAGGCTGATTGCCGTGCAGATTTGACGAAAGATTAGAGTTAGAATGGAGGAGAGTTAGAGAGAGATAAAGACAGATGGATTGGGAGTTTGATGAGAAGGGAGTGCTCCGAGAACATGAACAGGGTCGTACTGGCAGTAGCCTAGGGGGCGATGTCCGTGGCCAATGACCAACCCGACCGTTTCAGGTAGCGGTAGGTCTGAACCTTGAACTGCTGCATCCCTTTGGCAGACGGTGCATTGCAGAGGAGAGTGGCTGGCAGTTCATTCCAGGCTTCGATGAGGCACTCCGGGAAAGAGCGCAGCGCAACATTGCACGATCTGGCAGGTAGGGCTGTCTGGAGTTGAAGCTCGTGCGCAAGGTTGGCTGCCGAGCGGCGACGTGTGGCAGGCGCGATGGCGGGTGCGATGGCTCTGGCTGGGCGTGTCGCTGCAAGAGCTGGCGGGCTTTCGATGTAATGGAGCTTGTACAGAGTTGTGAGGCCGGCCACACGGCGCCGCAGGGACAGAGTGTCCATTGCAGCCCCTGTCCCAATCAGGGTGAGGGCACGAAGCTGGACTCGGTCCAGCTGTGAGAGATGGGTAGCCGCAGCTCCCATCCATACAAGTGGACAGTACTCCATTAGAGGCCGAATGAACCCCCGGTATGCTGTGGCCCGGCCCGGTGGGTCCAGGACATGGCACGCCTTCCGGAAGAAACCAATTCGCTGTGTGGCACGCACTGCAGTTCCTCGAAGATGCTCCGAGTATGTTAGATGGGCATCAAACGTCACTCCAAGGAGCTTCAGCCGCGAGCATTCCGGGACCGCTGTGCCGTTGAACCTGATGGGTGGTGTCTCCCAGGGTCTGCGGTGGCGGGACACAGTCATGGCCTGTGATTTCGTTGGCTCAAAAGTGACGCGCCACTGAGCACCCCATTCAGCAAGTGCATCCACACCAGCTTGGAGGTTGCTGCACACTTCTGTCACAGCATGTGGTGTTGGGATGTGGGCATAAAGCGTGGTGTCATCTGCGTAAACAGCCGGAGTGATCCCTTCCGGTAGGACGTCGCAGGCGTCATTCACGTACAGCAAAAACAGTGTGGGCCCAAGGATGCTCCCTTGTGGGACCCCAGCATCAATCTTGTGTGGTTCTGAAGATGCTCCGCCGACTACTGCCTGCAACTTCCTGTCATACAGGTAGTCAGACAGCCAGTTGAGGACGGGACCAGTGATGCCATATGACGCAGCCTTGTGGAGCACGCCTCGGTGTGAAACTTTGTCGAATGCTCCTGCTATGTCGACAGCCAGCACGCGGACTGCGCCACCACGGTTGACTTCGGAGACCCAGGAGTGGTTGAGAGACGTGAGAAGGTCAGATGTGCTGAGCCCCTGCCGGAATCCGTACTGGTGGATGGACAGAGCCTTTTCATGCTCAAGATGATTGATTATGGCAGTGTTGACAATCTTCTCCATGACTTTGGAGACAACAGATAACAAGGACACAGGTCGGTAGTTCTTAACAGCAGAATGAGATTGCTTCTTGTGTATCGGGACCACACGGGCTACTTTCCAGAGAGAGGGCTGGACATGACACCGAAAACAGAGTGAGAACAGCTTGGCAAGTGGTGCAGCCAAAACTTTTGAGCACTGCTTCAGAACTCTGGCAGGGATGCCATCGGGTCCGGTAGCCTTGGTTGGATCCAGCTGGCGGAGCTGGCGCTGGACTGTCACTTCCCGAAATCGGACAGTTGTCAGGGCAGATGTACACCTAGGAGGAAGGTCAGGAAGGTCGGAGTGCTGTAGATCTTGATCACCCAGACTGCATTTGCTCGCAAAGAATTCTCCAAAGCAAGTAGCCTTTTCCTGGTTGGTGACATATTCTCTGCCCTGGGCATTGCGTAGGACAGGGATAGACGAGCTGCGGCCAGAGCCTGCAGCTTGCTTCAGGAGTGACAACCATTGCTTGTTTCGCAGTGATCCATGTTTGAGCCGATCTCGGATGCGGGCAGATTCTGCCTGCTTTGCGAGACGAAGGCAATTGGCAGAGGCTCGGACTTTGGCATTGTAGTCAATGAGTTGCTGGTGGCAGGTGGGGTGTCTCCTGAGACGGTTCCATGCATTCTTCTTTGCCTGGGTAGCGGCTGAGCATTCCGGCATCCACCAGGATGGATCTGTTGGTTTCGTCGAAAGTTCTTTGTGTGGAATGAAGCGATTCATGCCTTCCATGACAGCAGCGGTTACTGATCTGCACGACGCCTCGGGGTCTTCTGATATATCCCAGTTTGCTGTTGAGTAGAAGTGCCGAAGCCGGCCCCAGTCTGAGCATACCTCCAAACGCGCCGTTTAGTCGGTGGTTCGCGGAGTGGGGTGGCATCAAAAGTGGCCACAACGGTGGCATGGTCTGATGCTCCAATGGGGTCCAGTACATTTACCACCACTGAGGTCTCCGAGAAGTCGCTGAGTATGAGGTCCAGGGTGTTCTCACCACGTGTCGGTTGAGTAACGTGCTGGTGGAGCCCGTGGAACGCAGAGAGTTCTTCCATGTATTCACCAGCTGGTGTAGTCTTCGTGCTGCATAGCCAGCTTTCATTATGAACATTTAAATCCCCGGCTATCACGACGCTGTTCCCGAGGGATCGAGCTTGATCCATGACTGAGTCAAGATACTCAAGCAGAGAGACATCTTGTCCAGGGCACGACCCGGGTCGGTACACTGCACATACAACTACTTTCTGGCCATTGTCCAGGTGCAGGCGAAGCCAGATGACCTCATGGCCATGGCAGTTGATGTCACTCAGGTGGTCAAAGGAGAGGGAGTCCCGGACCCAGACTGCAACTCCGCCACCTTGAGCAGATCGGTCAAGTCGGAGGGGTGGGTGGAAGCCCGGCATGGAGGAGTCAGATAGTGAGGCTTTCTCCGGGGTGAATTTAGTCTCTGTTACGATGGCGATGTCAGATCTGCTCCGTGCAACAGCATGCTGGAAGGCTCCAAACTTTGACAGCAGCCCAAAAGCATTTGTCAGCAGGAGCTTCATTACTGGGTATGTCCTTGCGCAGCTGGTGTTCATTGGTGTTTGTGTGACTGAATCGCTCCAGCTGAGGCAGCCTCTTCCTCACTGTCCCTATCGCCTCTGCTGCCCACGTTGCCGGCGCCAGCTGCACCAGATGAGCTGTCACCCTGCGGCCGTTTGCGGTGTCGCCAGGCTCGAGCGTAAAGCGGTCGTGGCCAGAAGTTCGCAGCAGTGACTGTTTCTAATCCAGTGGCGTCGAGCGTCAATCGGGCTGAGACTTTCCCGTCTTCCGTGGTGTGCATGCTGCACTCATGGGCTACTCTATACTCTAGCATGGGGAGTAGAATGTTCACTATAATATGATTAATATTTCGTTACTTTGGTGGACTGTTAGTCATAACTTGAAACTTATTGGTCCTTTTTCTTTGCTGAATTATTGAATGAGAATTTTGATTTTGATTTGTTTTGCAATCGCAGTCCTGAGACTGGATTTGTTGGCGGAAGTTTATTCTTCTTTTTAAAGATGAATTGGCTGAGGTGGAGTCTGCGCAACGTGAAAAAGGTAAATATGTTGCAGGTAAGTATGAAACTGCTATTAGTTATGGGTAGAAACAAAGCCCATGGTGGTACTGTAGTAAGTTCCAGTCAAATCCTAAAAGTACGTACGTGTACAGGTCGGTGTGTTCTTGCTCCATCTACCATCTGCTCGACAATCAGCACTGGTATTCCCTGTGAATCCTGTCTCACACACCCATCTAACAGTGTCACCATACTGGAAAGGACGTCTACTATCATATTGCCTTTGCCGTACTACATGATATCGTCCAGAGGCAGGTGTTCCTGGAGTGGGACATTTTCGAGCTGTAAGCAAAGAACACAGTAGAATACTTCTTCAAATAGTGACATGTTGATATCATTCACCAGTATGCATGTAAAAAATGTTCATGTCATCTCTCTAACCCTATGTCTTTATCACATTCTTCTACACACGATCACACAAAATGTAGATTTCCATCTGCATCACCTGGTGATTAAACTGCAATATTGGTACAACACATATGAAGAGTTTACTCAAATCTGTGGACAGCAACTGTTTCGCTCTGTTAAAGCTCCTCATGAAGAGTTTACAAGCAGACTCAGCGGAGGATGTTCAGGTTGGTTGTAACTCTGAGTTTCATGCCGCTAGGCAATCATCAGACAACTGATACTCAGATCTACCTAGCAGTATGCCTATAAACGCATAGGGCCACAAGCATAAACAAATTTAGCGCTAAATCTGGTGCCGTGAGGTAAGGGGAGAAAGCTGGCGTGGGCCAAGGCGCTAGGAGAGGTGTTGAGTGTGAATTCGAGAGGTTTCTTACTCACTAACACAACTGACAACGGGAACAGGTAGGTTGATGGGAACGACATTTATTAGAGACGGGACGACTAAGACCAAGACGAACGAAACGACTACATTGAAGAGTGAGAAAGAGATTATGGAAGAGAGCGAGACTATTGAAGAGAGAGATTATTGAAAGAGCGAGATTATTGAAGAGAGAGAGATCGACTGAGAAACAACGCAATATAAAGTACCAGGAGGGTGGCGGGCAACAGGCAGGTTTGAGCATGAAAGCGCAGGCAGAGGCAACGGGGAGGCAGTGTACAGCAGATGTGTGGAGGTGCCAGGAGGATAGCGGGCAACATGCCAGGGAGATCGCTAGGGGGTCTTTGGGTGACAGGCAGGCGTGAGCAGAGAGGCATAGCCAACAACAGGGGATTTTGTTTTTTTAAATTGATATTGGGGTGCTCAGGCAAAGTGCAGTGCTTGGTCAGTTCATTGATAGGTTTGACATTTGCGAGGTGGAGCTTGTTCTGCATTTCGAGATCATCTCAGACCGCTTGTTGAGCAGGAGCTTCTTCGGTGTCGTCAGGATGTGGAGTTTTTCTGTGGTGCAATCATTGGTTGCATTTTTTACTCACATCTGTATGATCGGCTCTTCTCCCGCACCTTTCATGTGATGGTCAACGGCTTTCCTTCGCTCTTCAGCTCCCATATGTGTTTATGTGAGCTCAGTGTTGTTTTTTTGTAATTTTCATGACGCATGGAGGTCATGTGGTTGGCGTGACAGGCTTTGAAGGGTGTCTCTCAGAGAGACCGATGTAAATCTTGCTGTTAGATTCGGCCGTGGCCTCGTACACTATCTCCTTGGTCTGGCATTATCCGCGCAGCGGACAGGACTCCTTGACTCTGCAGTTGCATGCTTTGGTTTGCTCTGGTTCTCGCAGTTTACTCTTATCGTGGCTGCTGATCACCGTTTCCATGTTGGGCATGCAGCTGTAGCTCACTTTCAGGGTGTTACGATTGAAAATCTTCCTGAGCTTGGATGTTTTCAGGAAGTGCCTAGAGACAAGGCTCAGGAACCTACCAGCGACGTTTGTACTGACGTTCTTGGAGTAAGGGGGTGGGGGTTGAACCATATGCCCTTCCGGCTGCGGTTCTTCCTGCCCCTCTGCTCATGTACCTCGGGCTGAAAGCTCAGCACTTCATTGTATCCACTGGCCTTTAATGCGCTCTGGCACACGGGGGCTGCATGGTTAAATGCCTTGGCGTCGCTTGATATAGTGGAAAGACGCTTGTTGACAGCAGCAGGGATGTTGTTGGTGATCCCAGGCGGGTGGTTAGACTGCTTGCTGACGTGGAGCGGGCTGTCATTTGGCTTTCGGAAGAGTTAAAATTTCCCTGTAACCAGGCTCATCGCGACATCCAAGAAATCTACCATCTTCCAAGTTCGCTTCGATGGTAATTCATAGGTCGAAGCGCTTGAAGATTTCCGTCAGCTTTTTCTCTGAGGCGGTCTACAGCCTGTGTGCTGGTGTCCTTGAGGGCGGCCAGTCCATCGTCTCTATAGAGGCCGATAGCGGATCTATTGACGTGGCTTGAGAGCTGGCTGAGAAGATAGGCACCCACAAGTTCGCACGTCATGGCGCGATCATAGCTTCCCACGGTTTCGTCAAACATGTCACCCTTGTCCTTCATCCAGGGACGGCCATCATGGAATAGGAGCGATTTTCGTGCGTGAAGGATGATGTCCATTTCACGTGGCTCAATCGTGGTGAATTGCTCCGCGAACGATAATGCTTGACGGAGGAACTGCTCACCAATTGACGGGTAGAATTCTACCACGTCAAAGCATAGGAACGTGTGGCGCTGTTTGTCGGGTATCTCATTGAACCACTCTATCACTCACATGGTATCCTCCATAGGTTCACGGCTGTTTGGCGACGCACAGCAGCCACGATCTTCTCCAGTATAGCCTTGCTCACCACAACCACTTCGGACTTGACTGGGTTAATGAGTCAGCGTTATAATTTATAAATGCTTCTGAATTAGCCAGTACATCCATCCTATTTTGAAGATCCAGACCCTCAGTGATCTCCCTCACCTCGCTGTTGACTTGAATCATTGTACGCATTCTCAGGCGCGATCTTGTAGTTTTTGGTGATATTCCCTCTTATCAGCTTGCTGTATTGCTCTTTCGGTACTTGGTACAAGTTTCGGGTTTTATCGACTTTCACGATGATGTCCTGAGAACTGTTCATCGTTTTTGTGTCTTTTCTCATAGCATCTTGGAGACTGTCTGATACTCGGTGGAAGCTGACCATTTCAGCCACGTGAATGAGGTCCTCTTCAAAGGCCTTCAGTTCATCGATTTGCGGGGGACACGTCCTGGTCTTGAAGCCGAAGCGTTGTGGTTGCTCCTCTTCGCGGTCCTTGCCATTGTGGTAGAACAAGACAGTCCACCTCTTACGCTTGATGACTTGCTTAATCCTGTCGATTACAATTTTCCAGTATTGCTTCGGTGACGGTAGAGGGATGTTCTTCAGGGAATATTCCCCGCCCCTCCTCCCCCCCCCCCGACCGAAAAGAGCATGCGCCTCATATTTTTGCGCATGCGCAGAAATCATTAAAAAAAAAGGGAGGGACGGCGGATTTTTATTTTTATCATTGTAAAAGACAGCCGGCCACTGTACTGAAATAGGGCTTTCAACTGCCACATCATAACGTGAAGCAACTCGGAAGAATGTACATGTATGCGAAGTGTATCGGGGGAATGCACGCAGGGCAATGGTGCTATTCGAATCCCATGTTAGGCCAAGCTAGGGAATACAATATCATATGCTTCATGATCATCCTGTTTTTCAGAAAGAGATGGGGAGGGTGGGCACATTTTTATTTTATCATTGTGTTGAGTATGAATTAGGACAACTGACGACATCTTCTCCAGACATTACAACGGACAACGGGAACAAGTTATTGGGAACGACATTTATTATAGACGACGAGACCAAGACGAACGAAACGACTACATCGAAGAGTGAGAAAGAGAGATTATTGAAGAGAGCGAGATTATTGAAGAGAGAGAGCTCGACTGAGAAAACAACGCAATATAAAGGGCCTAGGTAGCTATTAAGTTGGTTGCTCCAACGAGGAGCACACGCTTCTTGCCGAACTTGACACTTGACTGACTCGCGACTGCCATCCGGAGCACACGAGGTGTATCCGTTTGAAGGTATTCTTGGAAAAGACAATGCTTGATCAAGGCAACACAACTGATATAGGGCACTTCGTGCCCTAAGGTGATAACGCGAGTGCTGACAGGATAGGGAAAGGTGCAAGATACAGAGCTAGAGGGCAGATAAGGTTAGCGCTAACAGGGAACTGTTACACCATCCCTCCCTCCTAAGCGAGGCACAGGTGCCTCCAGGGAGTCGAGGAATATGTGGAAAGGGAATAATCAAATGAAATCGTGTCAACCCAACAACGCTCATCTAATTGAAGCACCGTGCAAGGTAACCAAGGACAGTCAGGCGAATGAAGATAGCGGAAATGGGGAAAATCTAAAACAGGAGGGGAATGGATTGCTTAACACAACAAGGATCAAGTGGGAATTCTCAAGGTACACATGCAATTGAATTTGAGCGAGTAACATTTCGCGGTAACCATAGTGTCACTAACATGCCCTGGACGCCCTGTAATGCCTCAAAGCAACTATCGGCCTACCGGCCTCGTCCAGCAAGTTCCCTTCTGGCTCCCAGGTGGCTTCGTCGTCTGGGTACCCTTGCCACTTGACAAGGTACTGAGTCTGATGCCTTCGCTGGCGATCGTCAAGAATCTTCTCCACCATGTATCTGGTCTGACCGTGCAAGTCAGTGAACGGTGGCGGGGGTGGCTGCCGCCTGCCGGGAATAGTATTCTGCTCATACCGGCGCAGAGCAGTGACATTGAAGACAGGGTGGCACCGAATAGCGCTGGGTAGATCCAGCTGATAGGCGTTGGGTCCGATCTTCTTGATGATTGGGTAGGGCCCGAACCACTTAGGGCGTAGCTTCTGTGAAGGCTGATCCCGGGCTTCTGCGGTTGTTAGGAAATCCTTGTACACCAGCACCATGTCGCCAACCTTCAGGTTGCTGGGCACCCTTCCCCTGTCTGCATACTGAGCTTGTCTAGCCTGAGCGGCAATCATGGCGTCCTTTGCCAACTTGACGTCATCCGCCCGATCCTGGATCCAGTCTGGGGCACTCCCTCCTCCCCTCCGTGCCAGGAAATCTGGTGGGGACTTGGGATTAAGTCCATAATTTAGATAAAACGGCGTGCTAGAAGTGGAAGACTGATATGAACTATTAATTGCAAATTCGCAAAGAGGCAGAAGCTTGTCCCAATTATCTTGTTTGTGGTTAACAAACGCTCTAAGCACATCCTCAATTACTCTATTCATTCTCTCAGTCTGCCCATCGGTCTGTGGGTGATTGGCAGTACTAAACGACAAGGTGGTACCTAATTGATGAAACAATTCCCGGAAAAATTCAGAAGTAAATCT